CCGGGGAGCTCTGTGTTTGCACGAATGGCCAGAGAGGGTGTTGGAATTTGGCAGCAGGAAGAGACTATGGCTCTGTTGTCCCCACCCGCTAAGGCTGCTTCAGGCCGTGTGTTCTGGCACATCTTCCATCTCTTCCATTGGAGGCAGGAAGAAGGGCTCTGAAACGAGCATCCGCCCTTTATGTTCTCAGTGGCCTGCACTGACCACAGTCCCTGGCTGGGCAGTCCATGGAATCCCTGATGCCCTGTTTCCAATCTCTGCTCCCCATGCCTGCTTCTGAGCCAACGAGTCTCTCGTTGCCAGGCCTGAGCTGTCACCAGCGTCACTAAAGGGAGTGGGTGGAGATTCAGGAAAACCCAAGAAGTGAATCATCCACAGGGGAGGCAAGGGCAGGGAGCTGGCCTCTGATGCGGAAGCTTCTGGAAGGGGCCTCCCAACTGGCTGCCACCAGCACCCCTCCCTCACACGGTGAGAAGGCAGCGAGGACAGGCTTAGGCCCAGGTTTCCCAAAGACAGGAACGGGGAGGACATGGGAGAAACTGTTTGCTATTGAGTGGCAGCAAAAGGACTTTCCTGCAGAAGAAACTGCAGCCATCTTCAAACTGGTGGATAAAACGATCCGGTCCAGCCAGAACCGCAGTCCGCCCACCCCATCCGGGAAAAGTGAGACCCTCACTCCAGGACTCCAGGTCTGGCGGGGCTCCTTCAAGAGGAAGAAGCTCCCAGTCACTTCCACCTGAGTTGCTAATAATAATCTCACACTTGAAAAGCTCTTCACCAACATCAAAGCCCACATCCTCGCCACGCAGTCCTCGCCACCATCCTGGGAGGATGTGAGCTCTCAGTACCGCCTGTAATAGGTGAGAAAACCGAAGCTCAGAGAGAGTAGGGCCCTGGGCAAGGAAGGAATGGAGCAGAGAAGGGAACTTCTCCTCAGATGCACAGGCCAATTCTCATTCCCCTGCCCAAGCCTGTTGCTCAGTCAGACAAGGCAAAACGCACAAAACAAAGAAACAACCAGAAAAGCCTGTAGAGCGAAGGCACTGATCGGTCTGGTCCGAGCAGAGAGAAGGCTGCAGAGGCTTTCCTAAGTGTCAGCGCCCTCTCGGCAGGTGGGAAGGAGGTGGGGAGTGGGGGCAGAAAGGATATAAATGCCCTTTGGCTATTTTCTGGGTGGGTTTCACAATGCTCACCCACCCAAAGGGCATTTCCCAATCTCAGGCTTGCTGAGGGAAGCACATCCTCCTCTCTCTACCCGAGGCCACAGCTGGCTGCCCACCCACCCCCAGTCCCGGGCAGGCAATGATCTAAGCGGAGCCCATCTATAGGCTGGTCAGTAAGTTAGGATCTGTGTAAGATAAGCGGGGCCAATCCGATTTCTTTCTCAAAAAGTCAGCATGAGAAAACAAAGAGATTAGGACAGTTGGCTGCAGGGATTAATCATGAGTTTATACAGAGGGGATAGGGGAGGCTGTGATGGGTCAGGTGCGGCTGAGGACGGAGTGGAGCCCGGGGACCCAGAGGAAGGAAGACTGAGATATGGGCAGATGCAAAAAGAGATGGAGGGGTGTCCTCATGGAAAGACCATGTGGCTGTTCCATCACTGCCCCTACTCCTGGGAGAACCCCTCTACCTGCAAACCTGGATCGCTGAGCCGTCCCTGCTACACTTACAATAGACCTTCCTTTCCTGAAGCTACTGTGGGTGAGTTTTATTCCTATTTGAATTACTTAAAATCAGAGTAAAGGAAGCACTCAGTTCTAACCCATTTTCAACAACTGTGGAAACCAAGGACCACAACAATCAAGGAACTTGAACCCAGGCTGCCAAGAGATCCCCCAGGGTCCCAATCACAACCCTCATGGCGGTGGCCCTTGAGTGACAGAGCTCAAGAGGGCAACAGACACGCTCTTGTCTTTAAACTGAACACAAATCAGTCTGTTTCCAAATACAACCCCATGGAAGGACCTGAAAATCTCTTGGCATCTCATTAGCATTTCAAGCGTACATGAAGCCCTACCTATGAAAAAGTACGAAGACTTGATGTTGTAAATGTGAGATGCAGAATACCACGCCCATTTCTACTTGGGTCGTACCTGAAACACTGAATAACAAAAGCCTGGCTGGTGACCTGAGCCCGCAGGAGACAGCTGCTGAAGAATACAATGTGTTTGCCAAGTCCAAGAGCAATTTTGCTTTCGCCTTCTTGCTTGGCCAGAGGAGTTGGCGTGTGTAAGTGTTGACTCAATTTGGCTCTCTTGTTCAAACATAAGACTTGGAAAAATTAAACACATTTGTGAAATCTAAGCATACTTCTATCTATTAATGTCCACATTCTAATATTTTTAGTTTAATTTTCAGTTGATAATTATCGCCAGCATTCATGATGTGCTTAGTATGTGCAAGGAACTTTTAACTAATAATCATTTTTAATCTTCACAGTAACCCTATGAGACAAGTATATTATTACAGAAACTAAAATAATTATTATATGAAGACCTCCCAGGAACTTGCCCAAGACTCACAGCCAGGAGGTGGCAACACCAGGCCCCCACCTCAGAGGCCCGCTGTCTCTCAGCCTTTCAGCCATCTCATCCCGGGGAGGGTTAGCTGAGGAAACAGATGATTGCTTGTTTGTTTGAGGTACAGACAGAGAAGATAATTCAGGAATTTGTAATTGCTCATCCCTGCTGGGGGACATTAGCTAGACATTAGCCGTGACACATGAATCACGACACTTGTTTCCGGCTGAGTTATTACCTATGCACAATGGTGCTCACCAGCTCGCCTGCTTGCTTCAGAAAATGCTGGAAGAAGATGGGCCTTGCTGCTTTCAGCTGCTCCCACTGCCGAAGGCTGAACCAGGATCAGGGCCCCCCCCCCAATAGTGAGCCATCCCTGGCTTCAGTTCTACTCCTGTAGGGTGAGTTGTGTTCCCAGCACAATTTTTAGGGATGCTGATGTATCACAGGCAACTATGCAGACACCTTCCAAGAGCACTGACTGCAGCTCTCTGGGGGCCCAGCAGATGCTCAGAGACCCCTGACGGGCTGTACCCTCAGGGTCCTCAGAGTCCCCTCGCCTTCGCTGTAGGCAGGGGCCCAGGGGCAGGAATTGACCTCTGGGAGCCTCCCTTGTCCCTGCTCTCGATGCTCTTGTGGGAGACCTGGGCCACACGTCCCGGGGCCACCCTGGCTGCCCCCAGGAGGGAACTGCACGCATTCCCAGTGAGATCCAGGGGAAAAGACCTGCCCAGGTGCTGCCCTTCCTGCTGAGCACGCCACTGCCCCCCTTCTGTGCGTCAGCGTCCTTGTCTGTCCAAGAGAAGTGCTGCCGGTGGCCCGGGGGAGGAGGGGAGGGCTCAGCCGTGACTCAGTGGGGCAGAGACACGGTCCTGCTTACTCCTGGGATGCAGGGCAAACCCAGGGCCCGTCTCCTGGCAGATCCTTGGACAATATTTTCATCTCACTTCTGGGCATACGCAAGGCCTTCACTTTCATCATGAAATTTGGAGTGAAAATGGTCATTCTTGTGCTTTAAAATATAGGAGGGAGGGTGGGAAGGGATAAATTGGGAGTTCGAGATTTGCAGATACTAACTAACATATATATATAAAATAGATAAACAACAAGGTCACACTGTATAGCACAGGGGACTATATGCAATATCTTGTAGTAACTTATGGTGAAAAAGAATATGAAAACGAATATATGTATGTTCATGTATGACTGAAGGAATATGCTGTACACTAGAAATTGACACAGCATCATAAACTGACTATACTTCAATAAATATATATATGCAAAACAAAATAAAATAAAATGTATGCATAAAAAATAAAAAAATATAGGAGACGAAGCACTTTTCATACATTCAAAAAAAAAAAACCTTAAGCTCCCAATACATCTCTCTCCCTCTCCCTCTCCCTCTCTGTGCTCTAGTCGGAGGATTTCCTTACTCCCCAGACACCGCCTGCTGCCTCTGTCCTTTCTCATGCTATCCCTCCCTATCTACCATTTAGGAGTCAGCCTGAAGCCCCCTGTGAAGCAGCCACCTCTGAAAGCCTCTCTACCTGGAATTCATGCATCCTCCTGTGTGTCCCCAGCAGGGCACCATATTACTCTGACCTGTATTGAAACCATTCATTCATTCATTCATTCATTCATTTATTCATTCATCAGACATCCCTGAGCACTTCCTCTCTACCCAAGAGATGCTCAGCAGAAGAGGCAGAGAAGCCAGGAAGCATGACGTCCAAGGCGGGGAGAGGGCACAGGTGGAGACATGACGGAATAAGCCGAACTCTCTCCAGCCAGTTTATACTCTGTTTTATATTTACAAGCGATACAGGATTTCATTCCTTTAAAAAAAACAATTAACACTGCTATCCTTTCATGGAACACCCATAAACACAATGCCACACGTGTGTGGTGCAAATGAGGCCTTCCTGTAGAGCGTGACTATTCAGGGCCACCTGGAGATTTCCTTCTCTCTGTATCTGCCTTACCTGGGCCCAGGCCCACCTGGTGCCCTGAACACACAGGAAGGGTATAAATGGCTCCCTCCAGCAGAAAAGGGGCAGAAAAAGATTGGGACAACTTCTTAAGTGCAACAACTGCCTGGGTGGGGTAAGGCTGAGTGGTCTTCCTGTCGCTAAAATGATTTAAATAAAGGTACCACCACTCCTCACCTCTCCCCTCTAGTAACAGATGGTTTCCACTTAGATTTCTCCGACATCCAAGTACCTGGCCGTCCCATCCCCATGCCAGAAAACTGAAGATGGGGGGCCCCGTGGTTCACGGGAAAGCCCTCAGGCACCCTCCCTACTCCCCCTGAATCTCCTGCATCTTCCTTCCATCCCCCCCACCGCTCTTCCCTGTCCCCCCACCTTCGAACACTCCCCCCAGCCATTCAGTATTTTCTCCTTTAACACCACCCCCACCCATATTAACACTGAAACTTCACAGCATACACGAGTAAGGCCATGTGATCACTCTTACCTCTAAAAGGTTGGCAGGGGGTTGATGGCAAAGTCGGGGTGGCTGGAACCCAGCAGCAGCAGAGGGGTTCCAGGGGCAGGGATGCACAGCCAACTGCATGGACTTCGCGTCCCAGGGGCGGCGGGCCAAGCCTGTTTCATCCTTCCCCTAGAAGGACAGAGCATCCACGGTTCCCCACTGCAATCCTAGTGTTGAAGATCACAGCCCTGTTCCATCTGCCAAGACCCTGCTGCTCCTGCTCCACCTGAGAGCACCTAAGAGTGGGACCCTCGGGAGTGCAATGTGCCCTGTGTCTGCCAGCAAAGAGTGGGAGTAAAGAGGCCACTGCTGGGGCACAGGGGCTGGTGGGATAACAATGGGTCCAGGGAAAGAGGCCGTGCCTGGTGCCTATCTGGTTCAGCCAGGCCTCCTCTCCCAGGACCCACTAGGGGAATGCAGAAAGCATCTGCCCACGAAAAAAGAGACAGATTTCCCCGGGAGAGGAGGGGAGGATGCTGCCCGGAGGCCAGGTCCTAGCCCCCGGCCAGGCACCGCTCCCTTGACTGTCCTCTTTCCCCTCCGGTGACCTCCTGTCACTTTACTTTTCTCCCCAGACAGACGGTACCTTCTGAGGTCAGAACCATGCCCTCCCAGCTCATCTCTGTATCCAGTATAGTGCAGTGGTGTATAAGCTCTTATTAAGCTTTTTGTTGAATGGAAAAAAAAAGTGTATGAAGGAATGAATGAAGGAAACTCTCTGGGTCCAAGATTGGCATATGCTCAGATTTAGAGCATCTTTTGCTTATTTATCAAAACCAACTTTGTAGGTTAAAAAAAAAGATGCAATTTATTCATTCATCTACCAAGCTTTTATTTAGCACCTACTACACGATTTTGTATTTGGGACTTTATGGGCCCTGAGGGATCTTTGTATCTGAGAATATTCCTCAACTCTCCTGTTACTCTTAAATGCAACTCTTAGAACCCCGGCAGTCATGTTCCTAGAAGAAGGAAACAGACAGTCCTTTTAACTGAGCACCCTCGCAGGATTGTTTCCGGCCTATAATGAAATATGTTCAAGAATGACACAATATCCATAGATTCCTGTATTCAAACATCTATCCAAGAATCCAAACCCTGGGCTGCATCTCCCTGTCTGTCTGAACAGGTAATTATACTTTGTGTATTAAAGTCTTATATCTCTGACCTATCCAGTGCACAAAAAACAGTTTAACCTTTAAACCAAGTCATGTACACCATTTTACTCCTAGAAAGATGAATTTGTGTTACTCCGTCAAATCAGTATCAGCCTGACCTTTAAACACATCAGTGTTTCTTGGAAAAATATTATGGCTGGGATGCCTACCGAGGTAAACAATATTAGCTGCTCTTCCCCAGCGCTGAGCCACGCTGCATGGAGACCTATCAGAATAAGGGGGTGGAAGGCGGCAGGGCCCAGAGCTCTCCTGACAAACTCCACAGGATATGAAGAACAATGTAAATGCACCAGAGCTGGCAGATCTAGTTCTCTATTACTGTTCCAGAGATAACAGCTAAGGTGAATCATTTCCCACCACCTACCATTCCAAATTATTTCAAATTCTGAAGGGACCCTATTTATTTCATTGGTAGCTAGCAATTTACTTAGCTCAAGATCATTATATTTATGCGTCTGTGAAATCCTCACAATAATTACACATTTGAGCCGTCTCGGGTGGGCTATCCGTGGTCTCATTAGTCATAGACTTGGAAGGATATTATCACGTTTTTGTAGCAACCTTCACAACGCACGTATAAAGCGCCGAGCTGGATGTGAACTTTGAGTCTCATGGTTTTCTTACACATCAGATTCATCAAACAGCAGGACAGCCAGCATTCACAAGCAAATGCTTACAGAATGCTGGGAAATTGTCTTAATTTCTCTTGTTTTCTCAATCGCTTCAGTGCGGCAGCCCTGGAAGATATTGTATTGGGCAGCAGGGAGGACAAACCTAGCTGAGATCTAAAATTACTTGAGGAGCTTACCAGAAAGTTCCATTATGGGGACTATTTATAAGACGATATGCTTCTTTCCCAACTGTACAGTCATCGAAGGGTAAGGAGGAGGCGGGTGGAATTGCCAGTGTTCTCAAGCACGTGTCCCCAGGTTGAATTCTCAGGACAACAGTTGTGAGGCTGGTTGGTTTATCCGAAAAGTCTATTTGGTTGTTTTAAAGCCACAGATTATTAGAGGGAACCAATCGCCTAGTGGTTTTGCTCATTTCTGCCTTCTGCATATTTATTTCAGAAGAACCTACTACTATTACAAACAGGGTGATTCTCAGAACATCTCTAACCTTGATAGCAAATAGCCATGATAAAACAATTCCCCTCCTGAGCAAGGATTCTAAGAGAAGATGGTGATTCACGCACCCGTCATGGAACCACGGAGCTCAGGACTGGGGGGCTTCCATGGCACGCACCACGGTTTACCAGGGCACAGTTTGTGTGATCATTGCATTTACACGTGACTCCCCCAACTAGATTGGTAAACCCCACGAGCACATGGACTGTATGTGTTTACATTCACCTCGTACATCCTCAGCACTTGGTACAGTGCCTCGCACCTAGTGGGTGCTTGATAAATATTTACTAGATATTGAGATATAACTGAAGGAGTTACCTGGACCTACTCTGTGCCCTTCAACTTCAGGTGGGTAGTATGATTATCTGATATTTAAATGGTCTGAGGCTACATCACGTGACTTTCTCATGCATGATTGAAGCCTGTGTGTCCAGACCATCAGGCTTCTCTACATTCTATTCATTAAACAACAATTTGATGAGCAGCTACTATGTGCCAGAAAATATGCTAGTTACAAGTCACGGGGATCCAGCCCACACAGAACTTCTAGTCTAATGGGAAAACACGGGAAAACAGACCTTTAGCAAAAGCTCCAAACAAAGGAGATTCCCAGAGCAGGAAAGTCATCAAATGTGTACAATAATGGAGCCAGGAGAACGTGCCCCCAGTTACCACCGCTGTGGGACAAAGTATCCGGAGCTTGGTGGCTTAGGAAGGGACTTTGAGGGGCGATGAAAATGTTCGATATCTCAGTTGTGATGGTGGTTTCATGACTACACATTTGTCAAAACCCACCAAACTGTATAGCTCAAAAGGGTGAATTTTACTTGCTGTAAGTTATACCTTAAAAATTGACTTTTTCAACATCCATTTATGATAAAAAAACTCTCGCCAAAGTGGGTATAGAGGGAACATATCTCAACATAATAAAAGCTATATACGACAAACCTACAGCCAGCATAGTACTG